TTAACTGAGAAAACTTATTTTACTTAGCCTTTGTTAGTCTGGTATATTTGTTCAGTATGATAGATATTGCTTGCCAGCTCGCTGTACTCAGCTGTGGGGTTCCAGGGATGCAGCCCACAGTCGCCCTTCAGAGTATACAACCGAGTAATTCGTATAGCTTATTGTGAATATTTGTACAAAAGAGAAACACTCTAAGTTATCTTGACCAGATGTCAGCAATTGCATGAGAGAACTGAGGGCTCTCCCTCACTTCACATCAGCTTACAGGGCCTGCACTACCTAGAGTGTTATGGAATCCCATCACCCCATCGTGTGAGGGAACTTGGATCCCTTCTACGCCTCACAATTGTGTTTTTCATCTGCGTTTGTGTTGTCGTTGGGGGCACAAGACGCAGAGCTGCTGGACGGGACTAGTGCATCTACGGACGTGAGTGGGATCAGGTTCCGAGGGCTACATGATCCCTAAGGCACCGAACTCCCCTTAGACTGGCGTTTCTGAAGGGGAGTTTCTCACACTGCATGCTTTGCCTCTGAACGAAGTTGTAGAACGTTTGCAAGCGCTTAGACGCAGCATGCCAAAACCGTAGGAAGGCTCCTGAGCTAACTCTGCGCTAACTCATGCTACATCTGCCCCCCCATCAGCAAAAAGCGCACGTCCTCGTGCGCAGATGGTCATGTTGAACTTGATGGGCTGCTGTTGGAGCGACAGCTCCTGGTGCTGCTGCGGCTGCTGCTGTTCTCTTCACCGGTGCCCGTCCCTGCGATGAAACGAGGGGGAACTGGTGAAAAGGGGCCCAATATGTAACGATGTCGAGTGAAAGAGAAGGGTGAGGGCAATCAGTTCGTCGGTTGCCGCATCTGACTCAAACGGCGAGTCATGATGTGGCGTCCGCCCCGCTGCCGCGACGGTGCCTCGACACCACCTGAATAAACTGGCAGGCAACCGAAACGTCAAGTATGAGCGAGTAAAAGGCGAAAAGGGATGAATGGCCGGACCAACAAAGCGAAACTGCTGCGATGCCGGCCCGACCAGGTCCACAGCTGGTGGCTAGCCGAAGTGGCGCCTGGCGCCGCTCCCGGCAATGCCGCTGGGCCGAGAGGGGAAAAACAGCCGCTTTATGTTGACTGCTGCTTGATTACAAGTCATTTGTCGGAAATTCATTTGCTGCCGCCCGTCCAGCTGCGCCGGGTCGCTGCCGACTGGGGCGCCCGAGGAAGCCCCAACAAAGCCCCAAAGGTGGTGCCCAGCCCCACTGGGCAAAGGTACTGCTGGTCGTCTGTGCCCTCCCGCGACATAGCGCCCCGTGTGCGGGAGGGAAGATACAAATAGGGAGGCAACGTAGTTAGCCTCCAGGGGAATCGGGGTAGAAAAATAGAAGAATTTGCAGGGATCTGACGAGGGATCCACTAACATCTAGCCGCCCATTACCCACTCCCGCAACCTGCCTGCATGCACACACTAGGTGTAGTGGGTGCGAGGTCAACGAGAGCACTTAGCTGTTCGGGGGGGATCGCTTCCCGTAATCGATCCTCCGAAACCCACTTGGGATCGCGTGTGCCCGGCCATTTGACGTAAGATCCGCGTTTCTGATGCCTGCGGCGGGCGTTGATCCGCACCTCGAGAATCTCTGTCCTCGAGGCGGGGAAGCTCGCGAGGTCGTTGCTGCGGTTTCCTCGCTAGAGTGCGAGGAAACCGAGGGGATTCCCGAAACTGTTTTAAGAAGCCAACGTTAATAGTGTGGCGATATCTCCACGTTGGGGGTAAATCGATGATGTACGCCAGCGCGTTAACCCGAGAGCGGACCGCAAACGGTCCAACCCATCGTGAGGCGAACCTCTTGGGTTGGTCGCCCTCCTGCGCGCTACGGAGGGCGTGCGAATCGACTAGAACCAAGTCGCAGAAAGTCAAGCCAGTTAGATGTGTTCTGTTGGGTGTAAAGTCTCAAATACTGCACCAGCGTGCGGTTAGTGCATTCGGTCTGGCCGTCGGCCTCCGGATGGTTGGCGGTGGTCTTGTTGTGCTCGATGCCGAGCCGTTGCATGAGGCTGCGCCAGAAGGCGCTAACGAGCTTCGGATCCCTGTCGGTAGTGATGCGTTTTGGGAAGCCGTGGAGCTTCTGCACATGATTAATGAATAGTGGGGCCACTCCTTCCGCTGTGGCCATGCTCGAGCAGGGAATAAAATGAGTATATTTGCTAAGCCGATCCACCACAACATATATGCTATCATGGCCTCTGAAGGGTGGTAAGCCCACGATGAAATCCATGGAGATATCCGTCCAGATCCTACCGGAAATATGCAGGCTGTGCAGGAATCCGTGTTTGAGCGTGTTTCGCTTTTGCTGCTGGCAGCTCGGACAAGAGAGGACGTATTACTCGACTGAGGGGCGCATCCTAGGCCACCAGAAGGACCTGGCAACACGCTCCACCGTTGTATTGACCCCCCCATGACCTGCTAAAGCATGGTCATGCATTTTCCGTAAAAGTTCCGTGCGAAGCGAGGCCGGAACGTACAATATACGCGAACACTACGCTTCGTGTGATGCCACAGGAGATCACCGTCGGTGCTGTAGCGCTTGACCCGTCGCCCGTGGTTGAGCTTAGCTAGGACTGCAGCCGCACGAGTATCTAAGGAATAAGAGGAACGCAATTTGGAAAGAAAGCGAGAATCATCAGAAAGAAGTGCGGTTACAGTCTGCCTGACCTGTAGGGCGTCTGGAGAGTGCGTCGGCGACCACGTTGGTGATACCCTTGATACACTTGACGGTGAAGTCATACTGCGTCTGCCGAGAAAGCCACCGAACAACTCTTTCGTTGTAGTAGTCTTGAAAACTCTTCGTCAGGTGTGTCAATGATTGGTGATCGGTCTGTACCGTGAAGTGCCTGCCGTACAGGTAGTGTCGGCACTTTTTAACGCCCCACCAGACCGCGTAAAGCTCCT